CTCAAAGCTATGTCCATAACTATTTTAACTTCTATGATTTGCAACTTATGAGCTAGGTAACCAAAGGTAATCCATAACTACTTAACTTCTATGATTTACAACTTATGAACTAGGTAACCAAAGGTAATCCATAACTATTTAACTTCTATGATTTATAATTTATGAGCTAGGTAACTAAACTTCTATAGTCTATAGTCCACACTGTATAATTTATAATTTATTTTCTATAATCTATTGTCTACAGTTTCATTCTCTACATTGTCTCGATCCCAAACCTCATACTGGGTAACTACTCACAGTGAGTAAACTGACAGACCGAAACAGCATCTCTCCCGACCCACAATATATAAGGAGTACGTCACTCCCAGCAGAAACAGTTGGTTAATGATTAAAGACGGAATATTGCGGTTTGATTTCCGCAGGAACTTCCCCCTGTGTGTGTCGGTTAATCACTGGCAGAAGTTCGGATTAAATAGATTAATGAGGCTGAAGCGAGCTGGATCGGCTAACGGCCCAGGTACTAGGTACCCTAGCGAGATTTGCTAGCGTTTCACGATCGAAGTTTGTAGCGTAACGCAGTGTCTTAAGTGCTAGATCAGCGAACGAAGGATTCCAGCAAGTGTAGAGAAAGTAATTTACCTTTTTTCATAGAGTTTCAATTGCGAGGAAGGCTTCTTATGATTTAATTTGAAAGTTGCTTAGATTCTTTAACTGCTATATGCCCTAACGTGATTTGTTACTGTTTCACGATCGAAGTTCGTAGCAAATATAGAGTGATAGATCAAACAATGAAGAATAGTAGAAAGTGAAAATGATTTCAATCTTTCTTTATAGCGATAGAATTTTCCAAATAGATTTTCAAGTGATTTTTAAGATTCAATTAGGAAGTTCCTAAGCTTTTTTGTCGCGAGAGGGTTTGCTGTTCGCAAGTAAAGAGGTTTCCGATGAATTCCGTGGCTTTGGGATAATTCTCTAATGATTCAGCTGGGTTATTTCACTATGACCGTAGCGAATGTATTACATCTGGATTTAACTGAGATTTAACTAGCTCAACCCCTCGCGCTGCCATTTATCTGGTGACTTTGCGGAATACGTGAGACTATTCGGATTTATATTCGCTGTCAGAGAGAACAAATGTGTACATTGTAATTTGCCCGCGCCCGGGAACATGTGTTACGAAACAATTGAAGAAAATTGTGCTGGCGGGATGATTACATTTGAGACGGCTACTTTGACGTATTCCTCCGTTTCCTGGGATAACCTGCAGTATTCCATGGTCTGCTTGATATATGTATAGTGGTGGTTATTATTATAGATAGTGAAAAGGTGGATCTTCGGTAATCGAGAACTAGAGTGTACTTTAATGAAAGATCAAAGCGAAACAAAGAAGAATTACATGTTTACGTGAAAAAATAAAGAACTCATCGCTGAGAGAATTAGTATCATGTCAAGCTTTACGATGACGTGTGTACTCGTCGAACACAGTTAACTGGTTAACCCCTTGCCGTACGACGAGTGAGACTCGTAATGAAAATTTCCAAACTAATTTAACAAGAATCAATGTTGTTCATTACCAACGGATCAAAGCAAACAACTATTTTGCTATTATCAATGTATTATCTTCAAATGAAATTTCCACCTGAAGTAGAATGGAAAATTTTGTTGTATTTCTTACAAATTGTCGATAGTAAAATATTACACGAGCTTAGCAACGGAAGTAAATAGTAGGCCAAGGGGTTAAAGAAAATGCATTTAATGTATTTTTACTATTATAGTGGGGCTATTATTATAGATAGCGAAAAGGTGGATCTTCGGTAATCGAGAACTAGGAATAAATATATGTATTTAATGAAATATGGAAACAACACGGGCAACACGTAAAAAGTACAACTCAATGCCACGGAGGCCAACACACGACTCTCCCTCGCCACTCTCTTACCACTCTTTTACAGACATTCTCTCCCCCACAAGCATTCTTCTCACTCGCACTCATCGCAAACACTCAGATGCACCACTGGAAAGCTGGCCCTGCAGTCTTGGGTCCGTGACGTTGTGCAGGCCACTTTCCCTCGACCGTTTTACAGCCTGTTCTTCATTCACACTCGTTCTTACATTCACTCTTCTTAAAAATACTTTAACCTACGCTAAAAATTCTAGATAAAAGCGCTTTGTTTTCAAATATTGTTCCCCGGCCTTACAATGTTCAGACTATCGATTTCGAATATTAAATTCATGTTACATTAAAATTTCAAAGAAGGTTAAATGAATGATAGTAGATTATAAATTCCAATGATTAGTGCATATGAAGTAGAATATTTGATTTTGAAAATATATCTAAAAATCAAATATATTCGCAAGCATTCTCTGCAACTGTAGAATTAGTTAAAATAATTTCTTACATTCGTTTCACAGATGTACTCTGTACAGTAAATGTATTGATAAAAATATTTACGCTTGTAAATAGTGAATAGTGAAAGTTAAATTCAGTTTAAAAATTCTAGATACTACATATGTGTTCTGAATCGTGCGTTAACCTGGATTAACCCTTTATAGGTTGGTGGCACATATATATGCCACTTTTATTACGGGTCAAATTACAGAGACTCTGTTCACCATTTTGATCCTTATGGTTTTGCGGGAACGATTGGTGGCACAAATCGGTGCCACCATAAAACGAGGAATCTAGAAAAATTTCGAAAGAAAAGTCTCAATAATAATTCTTTTTTAAAGTATTTCTAATATGTATATGGTAGGGAATACGAATTATCAAAAAAATAATTTGCCCTATAAAGGGTTAAATGAATTCCGAATTTACTAATGAGAATGACAGAGGCGTTACGCAGAATCGACGTAATATTTTGCCAGAGTAAACGTTTCTTCGGTCTTAAACGTTTGGCCGTTGACGGATTTTTTTAGACATATGCCAAAACTGTGGCACTAATTGCGCGTCTATGGGAAACAATGGAAAACACTTTTCATACAATAAACTCACTTATATTGCATTGCAACAACAATCATTTTTAAAAACACCATTTATTTACTTAAATTTGTTTTAATTCATTCTGTGGATAAAATTAGTAAAAAGCACTTATAATTTATTCGAATTAACACAGATAATTTTTTATAATCCTTTACACGAGTGGTTTGATATACAAAGCGCGTGAATTCCCTTTTAACAAATAGAGCAAATTAATTTTGAACTCTCCGCAATTTTGGCAAAACATAATGCATCCTCAGCAGTCAAACGATTAACACATTGCGTACTGGTAACGAGAAATCTCGTTTTTATATAAAGACAGCTAGTTATGCAACTTCGCTAATTACTACAGCATTGAAAAAATATAAAATTTAATTCGAATTGATTATCTATTTCAAATATATTACATAAGAATATGATATCCGAGTTTTTTTAGCTATGCAACTTCGCTAATTACCACAGCATCAAAAGGAATATAAAATTTAATTCGAGTTGATTATCTATTTAAAATATATTACATAACAATATGATATCTCAGTTTCTCTATGTACAACGATATAAGTTGACCTCAGTGAAAATAGCACAATTCAGTTTTCTGAAAATTAGCCGGTACGCAATGCGTTAATTGGATATAGTAGAATTAGAAAGCTTTATGTGTAATATTAAATTGTTTTAAATAGATTGATATGTGAAATATGAAATATTGTTCCTTGTTACTATGTTTCTTGATAGTGAAGAATGTTGAATTTATTTCATTCTATTAATGAATATTCCTGGTGGAAAATTATTGAGTGTAAACGGTTCAGAATGAAGATATGTGTAATAATAATTTTATATTTTAAATGGAAGGTAGGAGAGTAATGTGAAATATGAAAATATCGCTTTGTTTCTTGATGTTCATAGTTTCGCAATAGTGAAAATTGCCATCACAATTCAGTTTCTTGAAAATTAGCCGGTACGCAATGTGTTAACACTGTTCACTTCTAATTCAGGCTTAAACGTAACATAGCCGAAATCCAGACTTATGGTGACATAATCCAATGTTGGTACAAATTTAAGAACACCTAGCTTCACCAAGATACAATATCATAAACGTCTAACTGTCTTGTAATCTAGATTTATATAAACCTAACATACTCATAGAACGATTTTAACCCGTTGCGGACGAATGTCGACACTCTACGGAAATCAAACTCTCATATTTGTGATACTAAGTCTCAAACAAATGATTTAATTATTAAAACAGCAAAAGATCAGTAAATTGTTTCCTGTTTCTCTATTATTTAAGCATTCGACGTGTAATTCGACGGGATCTGCATTAGGTTTCGTATAGTTTGGGCTTCAAAGGAATTTTCTTTGTGTATTTAATTTCTTGATCTTCGTCTTGAATATTTTATTAATTATAAATGTTGTAGGAACTGAATCTTTGTGGTTTGTAGTCTATGGTGTATATCTGTGTTTTTGGGAGTTTTGTGATTGTTTACTGTTAGTACTTTGTTTGGACTTCAAAGGGATTTTCTTAGTCTATTTGATTTCTATGATTTGTAATATAGACCACTAAATTTCTGTATTTCTCGTATATTTTAAATAATCTCCGTCTGCAAATGGTTAATCAAATTCAGTTGACATTCAATTTTCTATTAATAAAAGCGAACTTCGTTTAAGCTTAACGAGTTCTAACTGAATAATTATAATGTAAATAAAACGAGTCACAAGGTTAGTTAAAATCCAGGTAGAACAGGGCACGGTATAATTAAAATGAATACAATCTAATTAGACGTGACTAAAGTTTAATCTAACGCGAACCCAGATCTGATGGACAATAACGGTGACATTCTTTCCCGGGCTTAAGTTTATTAATTGCGCTGCTTAAATCAAGGTAAAATGTGCGTCTGTTCCCCGTTCTATGCAGTAAACCGAGTTCCCCAGACTTTCCCCGGGGCACTCGTTATCGCGTAACCATTTTATCGCAGCGGTTGTTCTCTTCCGGATCCTAGAAAAATATGTTATCTCTTTGTTCCAGGGAACGAGATACTGTACCGCGATGAGGCCGGAGATCTCGTGATCTATAATGTCACATCAAAAGAGCCGAGGATTATCCTGCACTCCAGTAATGCGGTGAGTGTAACACGTTTGTCTGTGCTGTATTCTTCTTTGTTAAATCTTGCGTGACCATGTACAAACATCTTCTCTTTTATTAGGTTATACCAATTGCATTACAAATTAAATCGCGACCAATATTGATCTGTGAAGTATTCGTTTTGACTATTATTGAGTAGTGACACTCTATGAATTAAATTAACATTAAATCGTAATTAATGTTGATATATAAAATATTTTTTTTATTATTAGTGAGTAGTGATAATCAATGAATTACATTACAAATGAAATCGTAATCAATATTGATCTATAAAATATTTCTTTATTATTATTAAATAGTGACAATCAATGAATTACATTCCAAATTCAATCGTAATCAATATTGATCTATAAAATATTTTTATTATTATTATTGAATAGTGACAATCAGTGAATTGCATTACAAATGAAATTATAATCAATATTGATGTATAAAATATTATTTTTATCATTATTGAACAGTGACAATAAACGAATTACATTCCAAATTCAATCGTAATCAATATTGATCTATAAAGTACTCCTTTCTAACCATTACCGAGTAGTCACAATTAATAAATTACCTTACAAATTCAATTGTAATCAATATTTTCTTCCTATCACCAATAAAAGGTAAACTAAACAATAAAAAACCACACCACAAATAATTCACAGTCAATCACAATTGCTCTCACTTTCTCTGACAGTAAAACCCTCGCAGAGACTTACAATTGAATCGTCTTACAACTTAACACAATTCAAACTCAAATTTACTAACCTCGAATGTTCCCTCTCGTTCGAGATAAAATGACAAAAGCTGTTCAACGGAAGATTTCAAAATCTTCAACTAAACACATCACAGGCGCAGCTTTTGTAATATTTATATCGTATCGAGTCAACAAACGAATCTAACAAAGACGCCGTATCGGCGCAATCCGATTAGACGATAGGATTAACAACAGTCGGGGATTCAATTAATTTCCGTTACGTGTGTCCGATGTTCCCAGGCACTTTTATCGAGTTTCGACCATCAGCTCTCCGCCGACGGGAAGTATCTTCTGCTGGCCATCGATTACCAGAAGGTAACGTACCATTTACACGTCGCTTGTCCACGATCACGACTTCCACACCCCCTTCACTCTCGCTCCCCGTTGCAAACGGACTTTAGTCGTCCGAATCGAAACGAAAATCTCGCTTGTCACGTAACGGTGGACTGCGAATAAATTTTCTGCGGACTGGCCCCGTGGAAATTATCCCCTCGGGTGATAAATTTCGATCGATAGTCGCACCTGCAGCCATTTACAACCGGAAGGAACCGGATAATAATCGTAACTGCGACGTGTGTTACGTTAATCGCGTCAACGCCGCGAACGGTCTGAGAATACGGCCGATACGCGCCGAAGGTGATCGAGACGGTCTGTCATAGATATATTCATTGATTCCGGGTAATCTGTGCACTGAGCTTTCGGGTAGAGACAATGGAAATAGTAACGAAAAGTACCTTGCATCATGGTAAGAATAGTAATAATGATAATGGTGATGGAGGATATAGTATATGGTATTAAAAGTAATAATGATGATGATAATAATAACGACGATGAAGAGTATAGTATACAATGGAAAAAGAATAATAGTGATAATGGAGAATATAACATATAATAATAATAATAATAATAGTAATAATAATGATAGTAATAATAATAATGGCAATGAAGAATATAGTATATAGTAATAAAAATAATAATGATGATAATACTAATGACGATGAAGAGTACAGTATATAATGGAAAAAGAATAATAGTAACGGAGAATATAGCATATAATAATAATGTCGTGTACCTTGTTTTCCACCGACTATGTTCGGTAGTTAAACTAGTACTTCGCACGCCGAATTAACTTTGTGCGAATTTTTAGGTTTGTGAAGTGGACTGTATTTACTTGTGAAAATCAGTGTAGTGACTCGAAAGATGTTCGATGCTCTCTATTTGCTTGTTTGACTATTTGTTTCCAACTATGATTCTCGACTGACTATTCTCGACTGCTATTCTCGACTGCTATTCTCGACTCGCTATTCTCGACTCACTATTCTCGACTCCCTGGGCCTCCCAGAATCGTCTTCGACGACACCTCCGCAATGTCGTCTTCACGGGGGTGAAGACGTTCTGGTTGGCCCTTTTCGATCTGAAAATGGTTGTGGAAGGGAGACACAATCCCTTCCCTTCTAGTCTTCCT